TAAAAGAAAGAAAGAAAGAAAGAAAGAAAGAAAGAAAGAAAGAAATATGCTGCAAAGTAAGAACAGGGAAATCAAACAAAGATAAAGAAAAAATAAACAAAGCGAAGAAGATGATGATGATAATAAAGAAAATGAAAAGAAAAGAGAGAGAGATGAAAAGTGAATAAAAGTCGTCAAAAAAGAAAGAGGAAAGACAAGAAAAATAAAGATAAAATGTACGAGGAGAAGAAAGAAGGGAAAAGAAAAAAGAGGAGAAAACATGAAAGAAAATTTTATAGAAGGAAAAAGAAAAGCAAAAAAAGATCATTTTAAATTAATTGGATGAAGCATTAAGAGAAAGAATTGAAGACTGAAAACAAATCTAAAACGAGCTAAACGGGAAAATGAAGGACCAAAAGAATGAAATTTTAAAAAAAATGAATGAATGAATGAGAAGGAAGAAGCAAATCAATGATAGGAACAAGGAGCGTAAGAAGAAGAAGAAGAAGATTTTGATGATGATGATGATGATGATGATGATGGTGGTGGTGGTGGTGGTGTTGGTGTTGGTGTTGGTGGTGGTGGTGGTGGAGGTGGTAGTAAAACTGGGAAATGGGGAGGAAAGAAAATGGATGCCTGGATAGATAAGAGAGGAAAATATTATGGCCATGAAAAGAAAGCTCTGCAGTAAAAGAAGACAAAGAAAAAAAGAATGAATCTAGAGCTAGAAAAGAAAGAGAGAATGAGAAACGACAGGGTTTAGAAGGAAGAAAAGGCTGAATTAATTATTATTATTATTAAGAAGAAGAAGAAGAAGAAGAAGAAGAAGAAGAAGAAGAAGAAGTGAACGAAGAAGAATAAGGAAAAGAATTGGAAGAAGAAGAAGAAGAAGAAGAAGAAGAAGAAGAAGAAGAAGAAGAAGAAGAAGAGAAAAAAGAAGAAGGACTAGTGGAAGAAGAAGAAGTGAAAAAAGAAGAAGGACAAGAAGAAGAAGAAGAAAAAAGAAGAAAAAGAAGAATTGAAGAAGAAGAAAAAGAAGAAGATGAAGTGAAAGAAGAAGGAGAAAAAGAATTGGAAGAAAAAGAAGAAGATGAAGTGAAAGAAGAAGGAGAAGAAGAATTGGAAGAAAAAGAAGTAAAAGAAGGAGAAGAAAAAGTAGTGAAAAAAGAAGAAGTGAAAAAAGAAAAAGAACAAGAAGCGAAAAAAGTGGAAGAAGAAGTGAAAAAGAAGAAGAAGTGAAAAAAGAAGAAGAAGTGAAAAAAGAAGAGGAAGAAGAAGTGGAAGAAGATGAAGAAAAAGAAGAAGAAGAAAAAGAAGAAGAAGGAGAAGAAGAAGAAGAACAAGAAGAAGAAGAAGAAGAAGAAGAAGAAGAAGAAGAAGTGAAAGAAGAATAATAAGTGTAAGAAGAAGGACAAGTGAAAGAAGAAGAAGAAGAAGAAGTGAACGAAGAAGAATAAGGAAAAGAATTGGAAGAAGAAGAAGAAGTGAAAAAAGAAGAAGGACAAGAAGAAGAAGAAGAAGAAAAAAAAAAGAAGAAAAAGAAGAATTGAAGAAGAAGAAGAAAAAGAAGAAGTGAAAGAAGAAGGAGAAGAAGAATTGGAAGAAAAAGAAGTAAAAGAAGGAGAAGAAAAAGAAGTGAAAAAAGTAGAAGTGAAAAAAGAAGAAGAACAAGAAGCGAAAAAAGTGGAAGAAGAAGAAGTGAAAAAAGAAGAGGAAGAAGAAGAAGAAAAAGAAGAAGAAGAAGAAGAAGGAGAAGAAGAATTGGAAGAAAAAGAAGTGAAAGAAGGAGAAGAAGAAGAAGTGAAAGAGGAAGAAGTGAAAAAAGAAGAAGTGGAAGAAGAAGAAGTGGAATAAGAAAAAGAAATGAAAAAAGAAGAAGAAGAAGAAGAAGAAGTGGAAGAAGAAGAAGTGGAATAAGAAAAAGAAATGAAAAAAGAAGAAGAAGAAGAAGAAGAAGAAGAAGAAGTGGAAGAAGAAGAAGTGAAATAAGAAGAAGAGGACGAAGAAGGAGGAGGAGAAGTGGAAGAAGAAGATATGCACATAGAAAAAGAAAAAAATTAAGCGACGAGTTAAAAGAAGAAAAATTATAAGAAAACAGAATGACAACAAGAAAAAGAAGAAGTAAATTATGTGAAAAGCTGAAAAAAGAAGAATTCAGAGATGGATAAAAAGAAGAAAGGGAATGAAGAAATAAGAGAAGAAGAAAATGAAATATTACAAGATTTGTTGAGGAAAGAAAAATTAAGAGAGATAAGATTAAAATCTATAAAATAAACACGGAAAGAATAAGGGAATGAAGAAATGAAAGACAGAATGGATTAAAAAAAATCTAAAATAATTAAAGAATAAACTAAATAGAAAAATTATCGTTAAAAGAAATGAAATTCGTAAAAAAAAAGAAATATCAAAAGAAAACTTACGCGAACGAGTGACATTTCAACTTACAAAACGTGACAGAGAATTCGAACATATATCCAGCATATCACGAAAAAAATATATAAGAAAAAAAATATGCAACAAA